ATATTTTCACCAAGGCACTTCCGCCTGGTGATCATCAGCGTCACTGCACTGCGTTAGGCCTTGTGTCCACGTTTTCTCACTTGCTTACGGCTTGACTTTGTTTGTACTGTGATTTATATATATCGCCTTGCATGCTTACACTTGCTAGGCTGTGATCACTGTATTGCTTGTATTGTTCTATATAGATCTGCATGTGAACTGGCCTTGTGGCCTTTGCTTGTGCTCAGAAAGTGTGGTGACATTGTGATCCACCCTGAGCTTGTTTTTGCTTTGCTTGACTGGTCTTGTGACCCCTTGCTCTCCCCCACTTTGCCTATTGGGGTGTGTCAATATATATATGTGATATATATATGTAGGCTGTAGTGGGGTAGCCAATATGGGGTACAACCCCATTAGGGTTTCATATTTGTACCCAAACTCATCCTTAGTTCACCATTCCTGCCTAGAGTTTTCAACACTGTCTTCCAGCGCCTTTAATTCTCTGTCCATGGCTTTGCACCATTTTTCCATGTGCTCCCCCCCCAGAGCCTGTTGAACCGTGGCAGGCTCCTTTGGTAGCGATGCTCCGTGGATGGCGGTGACAAGTCCAAGTATCTGCAGTCCACTCTGCGAGAGTCGGGGGAGATTTGGGTCCTCGGGATAAACTGCTTTGTCTCCCGCTTCTGGATGAGGTAAGACATTGGGGCCTATGCGTTCTGAGACGTTGGTGTTGACCGGCTGGGGTGTAACGTAACCATTGTCGGCGAGGTCGTAATAGACTTCGGCATTGATGCTTTCGCGAGGGTTGTCGTCATCCATCGGGACGGCTACTGAACAGTAGGGTAGAGGTCCGGCTTCCTCCGATGCTCCATCCACATTCTGCTCATCCCGGTCAGCTTCGTTTGCTGACGAGGCAAAGGCTCGGTCGCCACGGAAGCCAGCTGTGGGGTCTTGGTTCGCCTCAAGGTTGGCCAGGTACGTCTGCAGTGTGAGTTGTTCGTAGAAGAGAACGTCACGTGCTGCCACTGTTTCCTTCGAGTGTATGTCTAAAATCTTCCATGCGTTGTAATGTTTTTCGATGCCCAGGTGTAGCCCCCATTGTGCGCGTTGTGAAAATCGTCAGGCTCGTGCAGTGTGCGGCCGGTATTGTACCATGCAGCCGAACACTCGTAACATTTTTGTGTTGCCCAGCTTTCCTGTCCACAGCAGATGCGGTGATGCGTTATTCGGAAGTGACGACGACGAAAGCAAGTTGTGCAGCATGACAGCATGATCCATTGTTGTAGGCCACTGGTGTTCGGGCAGTCGCATGCCACGTAGCAGCTTGCGCATGGTGTTCTGGAGGGTCCTGTTCATTATTTCTGCTATGCCTTGCTGTTGATGGGCGTAGGGAAGGGAAATGAGTCGCTTGATTCCTCTCTCCGCCAGGTACTGCTTGAACTTTTCTGACTGGTATTCTCCTTCCCCATCTGGCTGAAAACTTTTCAGCTTTACTCTTGACTCCCTTTCTGCTACTGGAAGCCAGGCGACGAAGGCTTCAAAAGCCATGTCGCGACTTGGTAGTTTGAGGTGCCAGACGTATCTGGTGGCGGCGTCGATGAACGTTATGACGTAGTTGTAAGTTCCTTGTCCGCTTTACAGGCGTATAATATGTCTCTGTAGACTTTCTCCAGTGGTGCGTATGCTGGTGCACTCGGGTTGTCGTGAGAGACTAATCGGCTTCGGGGCAGGTAAAGCAAGTTCCTCGAACTCGCTGTAGTTCTCTTCCGTCGGGTAGGAGTAGCGAGTCTTTGTCGAGCACTTCTGCCCTGATGGTGTTATTCAGAGTTGTGTTGCTGGGATGCCCTAATCTCTCGTGCCACGTTGATTCGCTGGCGCGGTGTCTGGTGACCTTCTGTACAGGTCGGAGTTGGAGTAGAAGCCTGCGGTGACATTGGCACTTCGTTGGATGGCGCGTGGGACGGGAGTCAGCTGTCGGGCCGGAGTTGGTGCGGGCTCGTCGAAGGAAGGTGGTGCCGATGAAGAGCCTGCGACAGGGAGGTTTGATGTTGGTGTTGGTGATGTCTCTGAAGCTGCCGATATAGTTTCTGCTGCTGGCGATGTTGTTCCTACTGCTGCCTGTTGTATCACTGCTAACGCTCTCGTCCGTTCTGCCTCATGTATACTTTTCGAGTACCAGAAGCCTCCGGGACTGAAGTCGGGGTCGAGATCTGGCGTGTGTGTCTAGGTGGTGAAGTTGACTATCGCGTCACTGTCGGCGATGCCTTTATCCGGGACGAAGTTGAGGACGAAGACGTTGTTCTTCAAAACCGCTTTTCAGATGTAGAGGCCGCCATTCCCATTGTACAGCTTGAACTCCTGGGTGGTGCTGTCGGCCTCAAGGTGAATCCCCTTCGCCATAAGTTGGTTGACTAACGCTGAGTAAGTTGTAGTCGAGTCCTTCTGCAATAAAATTTTTTGACATTTGCAGGATAAAGTTAATCTCATGGGATTGAATTTGAACTACTCCTTGTCGTTGTGTGCACAGGTTCTGGTTTTTGTCGACAGTTATTACGACTTCGCGGTTGAGACGTTGTTCCCGTTGAACGAAGCGACCCGAAGAGCACATGTGTTGTCCACAGCAACTGTCCAAGAACCAAGTGTCTTTCCCGGACGGTTTGCTTTGGGCATGGCTGCCTAAGTCGGGTTCGGCTCCAGTGATTCGCGGCGAGGAGTGCGTTCGTTGAGCAATTCTTCTAGTGAGTAAGTCGGTGGCGATTCAGTGACGCAGGAGTCCGTTCTTGCCATGCAGCTTACAATGTTTCTTGTGCCTCGTGCAGGTTGTGTCGTTGTTGTTGAAGACAGCGTCTGGTTTGAGGGATGTCGCTGTGTGGAAGTTACTTGACTGCTTGAGGGTCAAAGTTGTCGTGGCGGTAATGTTGACTGCTGCTGATTTGGGCAGTGGGTACAGGGGTGACCAAACGGTTTGCTGTGGTGACAGAATGGTGGTACGTGTCTTCGTGCTTGATGCTCATGTTGTCGGTTGTTGTTGTTGTTGTTGTTGTTGTTGTTGTTGTTGTTGTTGTTGTTGTTGTTGTTGTTGTTGTTGTTGTAGCGTCTGTGAGTGTGGAAGGCGGATTCTGGTACTGACGATCTTTTCTTGTGTCGTTCCTCGTGCAGGTCCATGTCTTGCTGTTCGGCGTGAAGTTCTGCGCAGAGGGCTGCCTTGGAGATTTGTCAGTGGCGTCGAAGGATGGCTCGCGTGGAACGCCACTGGGGTCTGAGACCTGCAACGAAAACAGTGATTAAAGCGTATTTAGATAATGCACCACCGCATCGATAGAGTCTGTCGCGCAGGCCACGAAACCTGCTGATATACGTCATTGCCTTTTTGCCGGGTTGCATTTGAACTGTTGTCAGCTGTGCCATGAGACGACTCTGATTAACGCCGTCGTTTGCTTGATACAGGTTCTTCAGGTGGTTGTACGCGAGCTCGGCGAAGTTACCGTATCCGCGATAAGACCGAATGTTCTGCTGCTCGTTTGCCATTATGTTCCGTAAGAGAATTGTGTACGCCATCAGTGACTAGTATGTGTATTGCTGCTTGTCGTACTGTGTCCCATGCGTTTCATATGGCAGGGAGCCGTCGAAGAAGCCAAGTATTTGAGCACCTTCCATCATCAGCTCGAACTCGAAGGACCAGGTATAGAAGTCCTTTCCATCAAAAGGTGTTGTCGTGTGTAATTTGAGAACGAGTGCAAACTGTGATTGCATCTGAAGTGCGTCCAGTGTCTTCGTTGCTTGTCAGGTGGAAGCCAATTTGGAATGAAGCTGATGGAGCCGTGTTGAGGTTCGTCTGGTGCAAAGGATGAGCCATCGAGATGTTGGATGCACGTCATTCTGAGTGCATGTCATCCTAACGTCCTGCCGAGTGCTCGTGCCATTTGTGCTTGCATAATTTGCATGAGCATATGTCATTACACATGGCTGTTGGATTTTACCATCTTTGTGTTTTTCTCCAAGTCTATATGCTTTATCGTGCAGGATAAATCCAGAGCTTTCCAACGATACCAAGATCGTCTTATTCCGACCAAGATCGCCCAAGTTACAAGATTTCCAAGTTTTGGGAATTCTATCTCTTTTTGAGATATTATCTACTTTGGGCGATTTTTGGGACATGACTACAAAAGGGATCTTTGGTTGGGTGATTAGGAAGGCAACTTTGACTGTTGGATTGGGGTGACTAGAAGTTTCTAGCGTGGGTTGCAAATGTTGCAACACATAGGCAAAATCCAACTAGATTGGATTTTGCATGTGACACCTCAAGGACCTCATGATGAGGGTTGCATCCTTGCTGCTAGGAAGGTTCTTACCATCCTTGCCTAGCTCTTGGAGAACCCCTTCCCTCTCATCTGGTCTTTGAGTCATCTGAAATTGTGGGATCCAATGGTAAAACCGGCGGTTCGAGCTTCAGGTTTTTTTTATTGGATCCCATCATTTCGGATGACCTGAAGATGGGATGACCCGAAGCTAGGAATACGCCTTCATGGTTCTCTTGGAGTCCCCAACTCCAACTTTCTATCCCTTAATGCTTGTACTTCCTCTACCACTCTAGTCATGCAGCTGTTGGACGTTTTCGAATGGTTCTTACTCTCTAGACCATCTTTTTAAGTGATTCAATTTGAAGATGGTAGCTAAACTAAAGGCACACAATCCTACCCTGCGGATTTGCGTTCAGTTGAGTAATGAGTTCGTCGTAAGTTCTCGAAGTGACGGATCCTAAACAACAAGTGGTATCAGGGCGAGTAGTCGACTTTGAGACGACGAATCGTAGTCGATTCCCGACCAATGTTGACGAGTGAGACCATTTTCTAGTAGCTCTACTTGCGAACTTTCGATTGGTGGTCGAAACGCGTTCTAATTCGAAGTATCTAGTCCGCAACGACGTTTTTTCGTAGAATCGAAATTTCTGGCAGATTTCTCTCCAAACGATTTAAGGCCTCAATATGACTGGAACGGACTCCAGAGGTACTAATCGCGAGATGGCTAGAGGTAGAGAGGCTGGAGAGCAGGGGGGAGTTGCTGGTGGTAGAGTGGGAACTCACCAACCAGCCAACCCTAGGCTACTTACTTCTACACCATCTCCTACAACCGTGGATCATGTGAAGGCTTTCCCTATTGAGAAATTCATGGGGGAGGACTATGAGCACTGGAGCTTCTGCATGAGGTTGATGTATACCCAATACAAGCTATTGGACCTAGTGGAGGGGAAGGAGAAGATGCCGGAGGCCGCGGAGCTGAAAGGAGCATGGATGAAGCGTTCGTTCGATGCATATATGCTCATGGTGCAAGCGGTGGGTGGAAGACAACTGGACCACATCAAGGACCCCTTGGGTGATCCAGAATGTGGACCCAATGCTTGGAGGAAGCTTCTAAATGTGCACACACCGACACATGCTACCGGCATTGTGCTACTCGCGCGGCGGCTGCGCGACATCAAGTTCGTTGATGGAGAGCCGATGGAACTGGTGTTGATGAGATGCGAGACATCTTCACGAAGCTCCAAGGCGGCGGTGTGGTGTACCCGGAGCTCGTGCAGTGCAAGGAGATCGTGATACGGCTACCGGAGTCATGGTCTGCCCTTGCCATCAACCTCAACTCCCAACAACCCCAATGGAGCATGGATTACATTCGGGCGCGCATTCTTGCGGAGGACTTGCGGCGCCGGAGTGTGGAGCGCTCGAAGGAGGGGGCTGGCTATGGTGTTGGAGGTGGAAAGAGTGGCTTCAAGAAGAAGTGGAAGGGCAAGAACAATGATAACCCTAAGGAGGATGGCAGCGGGGGTCAAGGTGAGGTGTGCTTCTACTGCAAGAAGCGCGTACATCGTTGGCGGAATTGCTACCAACGGCCCAAGGATTGGACCCCGCCTTCATCAAGCAACCAGCATGGTGGCAAGTGGAGTGGGGGAGTCATGGGAGCTAGTGGAGAGGAGAAGGATGAGGAGAAAGGCGGAAAACCTGAGGAGCGGAAGACCGGGTTCTTCTTCGTGAATGAAGGCGCAACCGACCTCGCTATGGCTGCCAAGGTTCTCCTACACCCCCTCACCCATTGGGTGATTGATTCTGGGAGCTCTTGGCACATGACTCATCGTGCGGACCTACTCGATGAGATTCAGCCCGCACCTATCTCTACAGTCACATCCGCGACGGGCGCCAAGGCCAAGGTCATGGGCATGGGATGCGCCAAGTTCATGGGAGCGGATGGAGAGCTCATGGGGCTGAAGAACGTGCTGTGGGTGCCGGACTTGTGCGCGAACCTGATTTCTACCGGTCGATTGGGAGATGCGGGTGTGAACACCGAGACGATTGGCTCAGAGCGCTATCATGCCTACAATGACGAGCGCCTCATTTGGGACCTGCAGCGGAAGGGAGATGTCCACAAGCGCATGTGGCAGATCCTGGTCCTCCCTTGGCGGAAATCGGGCAAGGCGGCAGCTGCGGCATCTATGGAGGAGAGTGTCACCAAGGAGGAGCAGCAAGGCGTGCAAGGAGAGGAGCTGATTGGAGGAAGCGCGGCGGTGAAGGCGTCAGCTACCTCGGGCCAAGCAGATTGGGAGACTTGGCATCGGCGGCTCGCGCACTTGGCTGTTTCTACATTGGAGGTGATGCACAAGGAGAAGTGCGTGCACGGCCTGCAACTGCAAGGAGATGACGCTTCATTGGGCAGCTGCGAGGCGTGCATGCAAAACAAGTTTGCGCGGTTCCCATTTCCACGTGCAGAGGGATCGGCGAAGGCACCCTTTGAAGTGGTGCACATGGACCTGGTCGGTCCTATGAGGACGGAGGGGACTGGGGGAGTGTTGTACTTCCTCACCATGGTGGATGAATAGAGCAGTTTCACGTGGGCACGTCCCTTGTCCAAGAAGAGCGATGCTGCAGCGGCGATCAAAGAGGATTGGTTGCCGATGGTGGAGCGGCAAGCGATGCGGCTGGTGAAGGTGTTGAGGAGTGACCGTGGTGGAGAGTTCCTTGGAGCGGAATTCAGCAAGTTTCTCAAGAGGAACGGCATCCGTTACCAGCTGACCTGCCCAGGAACACCGCAGCAGAACGGCATTGCTGAGCGTGCCAACCGGACCATTGGCGAGGCGGCTAAGACTCTGTTGGGGGCTGCAGGCATGCCCTACAAGTTCTGGCCAGGAGCTATTCGCCATGTCATCACGGTCAAGAACAGGGTCTTGACACACGTTGGCGAAAAGCACTGGGTGCCGTACGAGCGTTGGCTTGGGAAGAAGCCATCCATTGACATGCTGTGGATGTGGGGCTGCATGGGGCTTGTGATGGTGCCTAAGGAGCAGAGGCACAAGCTAGAAGTTGCTGCTGTGTGGGCTGTCCATCTTGGGATGGCTCCTGACTCAAAGGGGTGGCTGATGTGGGACCCCAAAAGCAAGAGGACGCTGGTCAGCCGTGACGTCAAGTTTGTGGAGGACGTCATGTACAAGGACTAGCAGCAGCAGCAGCAGCAGCAGCATCAGCAGCAGCAGGTGCAAATTGGCTTGCGTCTGCAAGAGATTGAGCGGTCTGCAGTGGAGGAGGTTCAGCTGCACCTTGATGATCTCCACGGGTTAGAGCTGACCAGTGACCACAGTGGCGGTGGTGAGCAGCAAGTTTCTGGTCCTGCTGCGGAGGAGGGGTTGGAGGATGAGTCGGCACGTGTGGACTCACCATCTCAGCCCGAGCCTGCTGAAACCGCCAAGGTCATCAAGAGGAGTGTGCAGAAAGGAGCTTCACTACATGGGCAGCAGACTGCAACCCGCAAGAAGAGAGTGACAGCGCCACCTTCAAGGCTGAAGTATAGCCGTTTGGGAGGACACAAGCAACGTGCCATGGCGGTTCAGGCGGATGAGGGAGAGGATGAGGAGATGGCTTTCTGTTTCTTCACACCCTTGCCTGGAGAACCAGCCACAGTGGAAGAGGCACTGAGTGGACCACAGAAGGAGGAGTGGAAGGGTGCCATGGATGCGGAGTTCAACAGTCTCATTGAGAATGGGACTTGGGAGGTTGTTGAGTTACACGAGGGGCGACGGCCGATCAGCAGCAAGTGGGTCTTCAAGGTGAAGAGTGGAGCTGATGGTGCTTTGGAGCGGTTCAAGAGCCGCTTGGTCGCCAAGGGGTTCCAGCAGAAAGAGAAGGTTGACTTCGGGGAGATCTTTGCTCCCGTTGCTAAGCCAGTGACACTAAGGACTTTGCTGGCTGGCGCTGCTGTGAAGGGATGGCACGTGAAGCAGATGGATATCACCACTGCGTTCCTCAATGGAGTGCTGCTGGAGGATATCTACATGGCGCAGCCCGACGGCTATGAGGATGGGAGTAGCTAGGTGTGTAAGCTCAAGAAGGCTATCTATGGCCTTTAGCAAGTGCCCAGGTGCTGGTACGAGAAGCTGGAGGAGGTGCTGCAGGGTGGAGGCTTCAAGACGTCCCAGGTGGATCACAGCTTGTTTCTGCTTGGAGAGGGGGAGCAGCTGCTCTTGTTGCTGGTGTATGTCGACGACATACTGCTGTTCTCACCTTCCATGGAGCAGATTGAGAGGACACAGAAGCTGCTGGTGGACAACTTCAAGTGCAAGATGCTAGGGGATGTCCACTACTACTTGGGGCTGCAGATTGAGAGGGATATTGAGAGGAGTTGGCTGAAGGTGCATCAGTCACATTACATTTCTGGTGTCATGGAGCGTTATGGTGTGACTGGGGGTCGCACTGTGACGACACCGTTCCCTACGGGCTTCAAATTGAAGAAGGCAGCTGAGAAGGATGATGTACTTGAGGATGAGCTGCAGAATGAGTACCAGTCACTCATTGGGAGTGTGATGTATGCTGCTGTACATACACGACCTGATGCTTCATTCGGAGTGGGGCAGCAGGCCAGAGTTGTGCAGCGGCCCACTGAGGAGCAGTTGGAGGTGGCAAAGCACTTGGTGCGCTACCTCGGATCAACGGCATCTGCTGGTGTCCAGTTTTCAGCTGGCGGCCAGCTGAAACAGATTGGAGCAGATGGGATCGCGCCTAGAACCTTGAAGCTGTCGTGCTTCACCGACGCCACATGGGCCTCAGAGGAGGAGGATAAGTCATCACTTGGCGGCTTTGTGTGCATGGTCGGAGGTGGACCAGTGAGCTGGAGGTCCAAGAAGCAGAGTGAGATTGCTCTATTTTCCGGAGAGGCAGAGTACATGGCGATGTACCATGCCATCAAGGAGATCGTGCTCCTGAGGAAGCTGTTGGAGGACATGGGAGCTGAACAGCAGGGACCTACACCACTTTTCTCTGACAGCGAGGCTGCTATTGGCATGGCCAGTAATCCAATCCTGAATGGGCTGAACAAGCACATGAAGATTAAGTGGCACTGGGTGAGGCAGATGGTGAAGGAGAGAGTTGTTGAGCTTCACCATGTGAAGGCTAACAAGCAGGCGGCAGATTTCCTCACCAAGAGACTTCCCGAGAGCTCCCATTGGAAGTGTGCAAAGATGTGTGGTATGTCATAGCACTAGTGTGAGCAGTGGTGTCATGAGTGTATGCGTGTTTGTATGCATGATTGTGTGCATGCTTGTGAGTGTGTGTGCATGCAGTCCGTTAGTCTGAGGGGGAGTTTGTTGGATGCACGTCATTCTGAGTGCATGTCATCCTAACGTCCTGCCGAGTGCTCATGCCATTTGTGCTTGCATAATTTGCATGAGCATATGTCATTACGCATGGCTGTTGGATTTTACCATCTGTCTGTTTTTCTCCAAGTCTACATGCTTTATTGTGCAGGAGAAATCCAGAGCTTTCCAACGATACCAAGATCGCCTTATTCCGACCAAGATCGCCCAAGTTACAAGATTTCCAAGTTTTGGGAATTCTATCTCTTTTGGAGATATTATCTACTTTGGGCGATTTTTGGGACATGACTATAAAGGGATCTTTTGTTGGGTGATTAGGAAGGCAACTTCGACTTTTGGATTGGGGCGGCTAGAAGTTTCTAGCATGGGTTGCAAATGTTGCAACACCTAGGCAAAATCCAACTAGATTGGATTTTGCATGTGACACCTCAAGGACCTCATGATGAGGGTTGCATCCTTACTGCTAGGAAGGTTCTTACCATCCTTGCCTAGCTCTTGGAGAATCCCTTCCCTCTCATGGTTCTCTTGGAGTCCCCAACTCCAACTTTCTATCCCTTAATGCTTGTACTTCCTCTACCACTCTAGTCATGCAGTTGCTGGACGTTTTCGAATGGTTCTCACTCTCTAGACCATATTTTAAGTGATTCAAATTGGAGATGGTAGCTAATCTCAAGGCGCACAATCTACCGAGCGGATTTGTGTTCAGTTGAGTAATGAGTTTGTCGTAAGTTCTCGAAGTGACGGATCCTGAACAACACGAGACTCATGGGAGTAGTGCCGTTGTTGTTGTCGCTGTTCTTTGACTGTGCAGGTGCCGTTTGTTGCTGTTGCTCGTAGAACGACATGAAGGAGAAGAATATCTCGATCATGCTCGGGTCGAAGCCGGGTGCCTGATTAGCGGGTGCTTTAGTGGATTCAGCAGCTGGTCTTTGAATTGAGCCTCCTTCTGTCTCTACTCCAGAGGCTGGAGGTAGAGTAGGAGTAGTACCAGGAGATCCAATGGTTGAGCTTCTCTTTCTGCGTTGCCATGCCTTTTGTTGTTGCAGGAAGTTGAAAGGAGTCGAATCTTGCCTTGCTAGCTCTCATACCATGTTGGGCTGAGAAAGCCCTTAGGATCGTTTTCAAGACTAAGACTTAGGATAATGATGTGATTAGCGAAAGCGTTCTAGTGAACTGATTTGAACCACCTTGTGCTGGTGTATGAGGACAAGATAAGTTGATTATAGTAAAGTAATACAAGGCTTTTATATGATTACAATGGAATATGAAAGGTTTCACTAACTGCTGTTGCGGTTCGTTGCACCGACGACTCGGGTAACTGCTCAATAAC